TGGGACTGAATTAGGTTGGAAATAGGCATGACCTAATTACCCTTGACCTAATTGTCCCCTATAAAGTGAATAGTGCCTCCTCCATGGAAGGGGGCTCTCACCCACTGGCTGAGCCACCATGCTAGACTCCGTCCGGGAGACTCAGCTGCCACCCCTCCGTGATACGCCACCACTATCATCAAGATGGTTTTCTCCAGCTCAGGAGGACTATCTCATCTATCAAACCGAGCTAACTTGATTGTCGGAGCCTGCTCCCGGGGCACAGGCCCTGGGGCAGTTATAATGACTTTGCTCTCTGTTGCTAAGATCTTCATTGCACCAGAAGTCCAGAATAATTGTCGGAGGTCCATGTTGCATCATATATATATATATATATATATATATATATATATATATATATATATATATATATATATATATATATATATATATATATATATATAGAAAGAAAGAAAGAAATATCGATAAAAAGATAGTTTTCGATTAAATCTATGGATATTGTAATAATCGGTTGCGGACACAAAAAAAAAGTCCGAAGAGTTGCACCATTTTTTAAGGATGCAATAACTAAAAAAATCATTTCGACGGAAATTTTCGTCACAAAATCCGTCACTAAAAGGGTTACACAATCATATTTACATTAAATTTACAAATATTAGGCAGAATTTCTCGAATTTTAAACTGATTTATGACAGATTAATTTGTGACGGTTTTTAACGAATTTATATTATACTTTACACCTTATGGTAAAATTTGAAAGATTGAATATGATACATTGGACCACATATAAATCCACGCCTGGTTATAATCGAACCTTTGGCGTACCTTCTTATTCGTAACTCAATATTGTGTACCCGAAATACATTAAATTCAAGTTTATAATAAGAATCAATATGTGAGTGAAAAAAAAAAAGTGTTCTATCTCAACCGTGGATTAATAAACTGACGGCCAAGATCCGACACAAGTTTAAAAGATCCGGATCTTAATTACAAAAACAAGAAATATAATATAAATTGGGATTGAATTGATTAATAGATTTTATTTGATTTAGTTGTGTTTAACAATGTGCTAACAGAATATTAATAAGTTAATTAGCATTTAAAACAAACACAAAAACAAATGGGGGGATATCTATAGTAGATTGAGGGCACATGGAAATACCAGAGGGGTTCATGAGTTCACACCGCACGGTTTGCAATAAAAAAATCCCTCATGAAACACTCCTTAAAGATTTTAATTTTTAATATATATATATATAGTTGGGTTCATATGAGACGGTCTAATTTTGTGAGACCGTGAGACGTATTTTTTTATTTTTTTATTTTTACTTAGTTCAAGTTCCGAAAATAATATTTAAAAAAATATTTTTTTGATTTTTTCATTTATTTTGCATTTTAAAATTATTTTTTAGAATATGTACAGTGTAATATTCTAATAAAATATTTCACGTATTTTTAAAAAAAAAAACCGGATTTTTTTTTATTTTTTTAGTTAATTCAAGTTCCGAAAATAATATTAATTTTTTTTTTAGATTTTTCCATTTATTTTGGATTTTAAAATTATTTTTTACAATATGTCAGTGTAATATTTTATTTTATTTAGTTTTTATTTATTTATTTATTTTTTTAGTTAATTCAAGTTCCGAAAATAATATTTAAAAAACTAATTTTTGGATTTATCCATTTATTTTGCATTTTAGAATTATTTTTAGATTTGGTCTCACGGTATCACAAAATTAGAATGGTTTCAAATTAACCTCAACTTATATATATATATATATATATATATATATATATATATATATATATATATATATATATATATATATATATATATATATATATATACAGTAGCCGTTTATCCGCTAAGTGTCGGGCGGCAAAGAGTTTCTTTTGGAAGATAGTTTTAATGTGATTATTAGTTTCCTTTAGACGTGAGATATTTATTGCGACCATTTGGTAGACTATTTTGTGTCGAATAGTTCATTTCAACTTATAGTTTCTTGTAAAATGCATACTGATACAATATGACAGAAGTTGAGTCAACATTTGTAATTTCATCTAATAGTTAGTACTTGATTTTACAATATATAAATAATAACAATCTGCAATCATGTAGTTTTGTACATTTATCACATGTTTAATATATAAACTACACCAATCTACAATCATGATGCTTCATCTGCTAGATCTACATTAAGCATCAATAGATTCTCTCCATAAATAAAACACATCATTTGTTGTATAACAACTGCTAACAATTTCTCTATCTAATAGAAAATGTAATATTTTTATAATCAAAATACTTATGATAAAGTATGAAAATGAAAATAAGATATAAATAATTTTTTAAACATACATTTTAATCAATGAAAACCATGAAGAGTTTGTTTGTTCTTGAGTCCTTCCAAATGAAATCCACACGAACGGGTGTCAAAATATATGAAGTTTAGTAACAATGAAAATGTATCAACGTAAATGTGATCGTTCATGAGTCTAAAAAAAAAAAAAAAAATCTTTCAATTACTATAGAAATTTTTTTTGTTTGAAAATATACTCACCCTTATCGATGATCAATAAGAATATATATTTAAGGCCTTGTGTAATAGTATTTTATGTCATGATTCACACACTAACTCATTAAATATCACACCGTTTGTTTGGTATATAGTGAAATTTATGGTTTGCATGTACAACGGGTATTGGCAAATCACTGTATTTTATTTTCAATTGAAAAGGTTATAGCAACTTGTTATGATTTAGGGTATGGAATCACGACCTCTACGTAAAATTTAATAATAACCTTTTTTAAAAGCTTGATACGTGTGTGTATATGGTAAGGTGCGCCACGACTCCCAGGTTTGTAGCTGCCGCCAAACTTTACCAAAACGCCGTCTTAATTCATATATACGTATAAAAATAAATAATAGTTGAAAATATATTTAAAAATAGTAACTATATAGAAAATTGCCGCTTTAGCTCACGCCTTACAAACGTTGTGACTCGCCAAGGCTCGAAAAAACTTGAGGCTTGACATTACCGCCAAGTCACACCTTACGTTATTTAGAACATTGGTATACAGTGTTTATCATATACTCACCTTTATTTTTGGGTATTATTATAATATTTAAGTAATAATTATGCAACTCCCAAAACTGTTAAAAATATGACACATGGTGGCTTTTTTATTATTTGTATTATTTTTTTTTTATTTTTGGGTATTAGCAATTAGATTGAAGACACATACTCAAAGTGTCGGCTGAATCCTCATAGATGTTTTCATATCATTAGCAAAGTTTAGTTTTATTGATTTTTAGTAAGGATAAGGATTATTAAATGAAATTTTAATAATTTTTCGTGTTGTTTGTAATAAGGTTTGCGCCCATAAAAGTAATCCATGCTTTTAGCGTAAACATTTTTTTTTGGATATGTTAAATTTGTTATTCAGTTTTAAAATTTTATAAAATTTATGATATGGTTTCATTAACTTATCAATGTCCATTAAATATGTTTTAGGATCCAGGGATAAAAAGAACATGCCACAATCAATTTGATAATTAAAAGATATTTATTAATTAAAAATATCCAAAATAAACCAACAATACATATAACCTGAAAAAAAAAGTATATACAAATCAATATCATTTAATTTATCAAATCAATACAATTTTTTAGTCCGAGTTTGGATTAATCAATGTACAAAAACTTTAAATTAGAGAAGTTATTAGTTTATATAACATATAATTGCAAAATATGGATTTTTATAAAATGAACATAAAAAGAAAGAAATTATGTGTAACGTTTAGATATAAAATAAAGTTGATGGGTAATATCAAAAAAATTCCTACATATTGATTTTTTTTTTTTCTAATTGAATGTATGATTCACTCAAACTAAAACTCAAAAAGAGAATGTCTCAACTTATACATGTACATAAACAATCCACACATATATACAATGTCAGAAACAAATACATACACATATATATATACATGTTATATTACATGTATTATTTGAGATAAAAGAATAAGAAGATTATCACTTTAGATAGAAGACAGAATTAAGATCATCATTTGAAACAAAAGAAGTCTATCATTTCAAACAGAAGTAAAAAATAAAATATTATACACTCTTGAGTTACAAAAGATAGAAGAAGTAAAGAGAACCTGAATTCGTATCAAGAAACGCAATGAAGCAGTGTTCCCGATTCCAAATCAATAATTCAATCGTCTCAAAACCCTAACTATCTAATTATGATGTGAGAGTTAAAAATGAATAACATAAATTAAATTTATAGGTGGAATAATCTATTATATAATAGAAAATGATGTATTTTTGGATATTGACAACCATTCCAAAATTAATCAAATTAAAATTTTACCATGAATATTAACATTAACAAATATACTTGAAAATTTAAAAATGAATATAATAGCTTTCAAAATTCATACCAAAAATATTTAAAATCTTACAAACTTAACAAATATACTAACAAATTTTAAAATGGATATAATAACTATCAAAATCCCTACCAAAAATATTTCAAATCATATGAAACTTAACAAATATATTCAAAAAATTAAAAATGAATATAGTATTGGTTGATTTTATTTTTGGAAATATATTTTATTCCTTCTAGTTATTTTTAGAAAAGAAACTTATCATTTAATTAAATATCATGAAACTCCCCAAAAAAAAAAAAAAAAAAAAAGGTTGTATTACAATTTTCATTCCAATCCAGGACAGAATGAAAATTAACAAAATGGAAGGAATCAGAATTCAAATGCGTTTGGGAATGCTCAATTCCACTTCATTCTTCCGATTCCATCATACCAAACAAAACAAAATAATTCTCAATGCAAAAAAATAACTTGATAATAACTGAAATAAAAATAAAGATATTACCAGGGCTTCAAATTTGACCACATTAGGGGAAGTCAATGCACCTTCATTTTCAACAATAGTCAACTCATCTCCAAAACTCCATTTGTATTGGTGGTCTAGTCCACGACTTCTTTTCTGCAATTGTTGAAATCAACTCTACTTTCCGCACTCAAAATTGACTCCGTTTGACCAAGAAATTTCCTTATCCTGCAATATATTATATTATATTTATAAAAAATTAAAAATTAAAAATATAGTTTAAGAATTGCATTCATAGGGTTGTTGCTTAATGGGCTTAATCGGTTAAGACAAAATTATTAGATACTCACTTCCACATCAAACAGTTCATAGAAGCATTGTACTTTTCCCTTCTTGATGTCACTTGAATACTCATTTTTGTTGTTTGTTCGGGCACTGGAATCTTAATCACAACTCCAAGTACAAACATTTTTGCACCAAATACACTCTTTACCTGAAAACAAATAAAGTTCACACTTAATATATATAAAAACATTTACCATAAATTATTAAAATTATACATTATTTAGTTGTTTACAAACCTTGACATTAACTTCCATGCGTGTCCTGCCTAATTCCTTGATTATGGTCAATACCCGAAATGGAAGATTTACACCCTCAGTGATACGATATCTATACATAAAATCCGGTCAAGTTTACACATTGATGGAAAGTAACATCATCAAGCTCAATAGTTTTCCCACTATATTACATAATACATACTTAAGTTAAAGTTTAGTCAACAAAACAAACAAGGGTGAAGGGTACAAATGCAACTTTGTTTGTAGATTACCTTTTAGTAGGGTGTGATTTAATTTCAAACTCTTTCTTAAGGCTGATTTTGTCATTTAATCCTAGCTTCAAATCGGGCATTCCAGAAAGGAAAAATTTCATGAGAATTTTGCCAGTTACATCACAACGTAGAACACCACCTGTTTAACAATAAATTGTTTATAAGGGCATGAAAGATAAAATATGTAAAAATGCCAACCAACTGCACCATTTACTTTTAAAGTATCATTGGGGACAGGTTTATCTGTAGGCTATTATTGAAATTATAAATTAGAAGATATTTTATATATACTAAGAAGAAGAGAACATATATCTTTCATATTTCAAAGATAATCAAAAATAACCTTAGAAGAGAATTTTAAGCTAACACCTTCTTGAGTAATGTACAACTTTAATATTTCTGGTGACATATTTTGTGGATAACCAAAGTCCATAATTTCTACATATATAAAACATGATATAACGCAAAAGAACTATAAATGCATGATGTAGATGGAAAAAAGTTACATATGGAAATGGAGAAACAAATCGAACCTTTGAATAGAAGGTGGTAATGGTGGTGTAAACAGGTGAGTGGTGGTGAATGTCCAACCCCCAAAATTTTCAAGCCCTAGTCAATCAGAGTTTTAGTTTCGCACCAAGAACATCGATATAAGTAGTTTTTATTCCTGCCAAGCATCAGTTTACAAAAACGTGAGAAAATCAAAACGGTTTTTAAATCAGATCATAAAAAAAAAGGAGATGCAAGATGTCTTTGATCATGTTGGGGTTTTAGAAATAATGAGAATAGAAAAGTGAGGGGTAAAATAGTCAAACTCACAAAAAGGAATTCCTAACATTAACCGTCACAACAAAATCCCTAAGGAGTAACTGAACGAACTTAACACATTTCATTGCTAGTATAAAATCATTAATTAAAGGTGGTGATATCCATATTATACAAATAGTCACATCAATATTCAAAGATTAAAAAAGGCTTTTCGGATTATAAATCAAACATTCTTACTTTCTAAAAGGGAAATTAGTGATTGAAAGAAATTTAATTGTGTTGTTGCTCTACTTTGAAAACATTTGGAGCTAATTCACGACAAACCTCACACCAATCTGCATAAAACTCGACAACAGTTGGCTTCCCATTTGAAAGAGCATATGAATAAGAAAACAAATTGTAAATCAATGTCTACTATTCAAAAACTTGAGATTGAAAATGGTGGAAAAGAGGAAGGTGGTGGGGGAGAAAAAGTAACCTCTTCATAAGGTAAGGATGAAATAGAAAGATCATTCAAAGAAACACCAAAATGAAGTCTACCTGAAACAAACAGGCCTACTGCTCCAAGAATAGAAGCTATTGCAACTCTCCGGTTGAGGCTTTTGTTTGGGAGAGTAGGTAATCCACCACCACTTGGAGAACTTGTAACTTCCGGAATCTTTTCTTCTTTATCAGAACCAGATTCAACAACCGAGTTTTTCTAGATTCAAATTTACAAATTGTTAAGAAATGTAGTTGAATTGTGTTTCAGTTGGTTAATTAGGGTTTATTGCCAACTAACTAAAACTACTTCCATATATGATCTTAAAAGCATTTTGCATCAATTCACCTAAGCTATCAACTCATGTTTGTAGTTCAATCTAGTTCCAAAATGTAAAGGAAGTTTAAAAATGGAAATCTTTTAATGTTCTTCAACAATCACAGTTAAATTTCGATGTCAAAACAGTCAAATTCATGATTGATACAAGTGTGTAAAACCAAAACCCGTAGGTCGCAGCTTTTCCTGTAATTTTTAGAAACAATATCTGATTTTCACTTTTGGAAACGAACTCATAATTGAGAGAGAGAGAGAGAGAGAGGACCTCAGACTTGGAATCGGTCGGATTAGGTTTAGTTTGGCAGTACAACCGCTGGAATCTGAGCTTTCTATTGCAAGAATGAACTGAGGGATTTATGAAACAAAGAGATTTTATGGCAGGATAAATACAAGACGGCCGGAATTTATGGAGTCCGACGGGATTTGAAGAAACTCGAGCCATTCAGTTCTTCTGTAGTGACCAGAATTTCAAAATATATCACCGGAAAACTACAGTACACCGACACTGGATACCTTGCTGGAGAGTCCAAGGTCATCGATAATTTGAAATTAGGGTTTCCATTTCATTCTGATAGTGATCGAGAGAGATAAAGAGAGGCGAGAGAAAGAGAGAGAGAGAGACAGAGAGAGAGAGAGGGATGTCTTGGGTGGGGGAGGTCGGCAGCAGTAGACCTTCGGTCGTCGGTGGGAGACGTTGGTAGAGGAAAGAAAACAGTGATGACAATCCGATAATTGAGGAAAGAAATATTATCGAAGATGGTATATTTACCAAGTGAAAATCAAAGTGGGTATATTTACGAAGTTAAAACGACATATTTTAAAGGTTTAGCACCTAAGTTTAGGTGAGGTTGTAATGTATGTTCCATATCCCATATATATATATATATATATATATATATATATATATATATATATATATATATATATATATATATATATATATATATATATATATTGTTCGAACAATGTTCTATCAGGATCCTATGATTCTAAGCAAAATATAAATAAGAACGTAATGAAGAACACAAGTATTGCACTGAATATGTCGAATGATTAATGCAAAGATACCCCAGAAGAGCTCGATAAAGAACTTCAATCTGTAGAGGTATATTAGGGTTACAAGAATCAACGTAATCGACTATTCTATGTTATACGCATACATGCATGGATATATTTATACTAAAACCCTAACAGCTTATCTAGATAAAAGGAAACTATTCTAGATAAATACGGATGGACAAGCCCAATCTGATTACAAAAAAAAAGGCCCAAGACGCAACACTAAAATACTTAATAATCTCCCCCTTTGCGTCCTTGGAGCAGAAACTTCATTCCCTTTTCACAACAGAGGGCTTTTTCACGGTTTCAAATATCCTCGGTATAATCGCCAGAATGTGATGTCTAAACGTTATGTACCACCGAAGCATATCTGTGAAGTTCTTTTTATCTGCTCCCGAGTTCTACTTGCATCGATGAATGATATTGATTATATGCTCTAGACAGTCTGTTGAAAACAAATGCTTGTCAACCAAAGCAAACAGAAACTTGTGCTTTTCACCCTTCGTGAACATGGCAGTCAAATTTGTTGAATCAATCTGCCCCAACTTCATCTTATTCACATCACCGGGATTAGACGTTGGCTTGACAGACGGTTTCTTGTTCATCACCTTTACTATCTCCTGATCCATAGTGGCAAGCTCATGGACATAGGAGGCCAACATTCTCTTTAGATGTTTCAAAATCGGCTCATACTCCCTTTGAGTTGAGAGTAGAATGTTGTATAGCAGAATCCAATTATGTGGATTAAGGTTTGGAAGATCTGCTAGAGAAATAAAATATTTCGTGTTTGTTGTACTATGGTTGATTTTGAAGTTTACATTCACAAACCTCCCAGCAGGTGACAGTTTCAGTACCTTGACTTTTGTAATTTTCTGTGCACTCCAAGTCAAGTACTGTGGTTGACCATTCTTCAAATAGAAATCTACTAACTCTCTGTCAACCTTCCGATTAGGATGAGGAACCTCAGCAGTGACATCGAAGCAATGAAAGGTAAATGCTTTTCTTGTGATTGGCATGTCAAACTGCGAGTTCTTTGAATTATCACAATCAAACGAAGCAATCGGTTCCAACCAGTACATAGAAGGAAACTCAATCGCTTGATTGATGAGTGTATCTCTGTCCCATTCTGGAAACAGAGTCTTCTTGCATTGCAAGACATCCTCCTCTTCCTTATTCTTTCTCTCTTTTTCTTCTGCCTCTTGTGCCACCTTCATTGTTTCATCAAGCTCCTTGTCCCTCTTCTTTCTTTTAAGGGCTTCAGCGATAGTCTCTTCAGTATCAGTATCACTATCAGCTTGAACTTTCTTTCTAGAAACCGAAGCTAAATTATCCTTCGGTTCCGTTTTGTCTGTACTCTCTTCTACCCTTGTTTCGAAAGAAAGACCTTCTCCGAGACACCCTTCATCTCACTGAGAATTGTAATTGTAGGAAGGAGTTTGGTTTGGAGATGCTTCTGTATGGTTAAGGTCAAGAAGGGATCATGAGCTTCAAGAAGAGTAGTCAATAGATTTTTCACATCACCAGCACAACTTTGATAAACTGCCCTTTGAGTTTTTAACAGAGAGATCTCTTTTTCTGCCTGGGCCAGTTGAACTTTTTGGAGATCAATTGTCGCTTGGTGTTTTATCAGGTCCTCCTTCAACGTACTTTCTGCAGAAAGAGAAGCAAAACGAGAATCCAGAGATTGAAGAAAAGATGTGGATTCTGTTTTGAGATCAGTATGAAGGGCTTCAACTTTTGTAGTTTCATCCTGAAGAGTTTTAGAGAAGGAGTCCACCGAAGCTTGATATTTGGCCGCATTTGTGTCAGCATGAGCTTTAAGAGAATCAAGGAAAATCTGAGTTTTGTGAACAACCTCAGTAAGCTCCTTTGTGGCCTTTGAACAAGAAGTGGTTGACTTATCAACTGCTTCTGTTGATTTATCAATAGCATCGGTGTATTGCTTAATGGCAGTCTCCAAGAAGGCTTTTAAAACAACACTGCCATAAGCTTTGCTATCTTCAAGCAGTTGATCCAACTTTTCATTGATGTCCTGTATATGTTGACTGGTGACAGGAGCAGCAGCATCATTATCTGTTGGAATCCTGTAAGGATTGTAATACAACGAATCATAATCCTCCTCATCTCCACCAAGAGTAGCACCAGAGGTAGAGGATGGGGTTGGGGATGGTGGTATGTTGATAACAGGAGTATCAATCATAGTAGTAGCTCCTGTATCAGATACATTGACTTCTATTGGGATTTTGGGAATGGTGGTAGTGATGGATTCGGTTATAAGAGGAGTTGAGATAGGTGTAGTTGAGACAGGAACAAAGGTAATGATGGTTGAAGTGGGTAGAGAAGTTGGTTCAGTAAGAATGGGTGGTATATCTGTAGGAACAGAAAGTGGAGCTTTTTCTTTTGGTGATGGAGGTGGAGTGGAAATTTTAGTGAGTTTAGGAGATGGTGGAGGAGTTGGAATTTTAGTAGTTTTGGGAGAGGCTGGTGGAGTTGCAATTTGGGTACTTTTAGGAGATGGACGTAGGGTTGGAGATCTTCGAGGTGTGAGATCTCTGGTGGAAACCTGAGGATTCTCCGCTTCTGCTTCTTGGTCTTCAACTGTATCAGGTCCAGGAGAAAAGTTCCCCTTGGGTCTGTTAGCCATCTTCTTTATCTTCTTCGGTTTTGATTGAGAAGAATCTCCTTCACCAGACTTTCGCTTTGAAGATTTTGGCTTACTCTCCTTAGTTTCTTCCTTTTCTTTCTTTACTACCCGTTTGCCTATGTTAGCAGGCTGATCCAAGGCATCCAGTGTGACTTGTTGTTCTTCAGACAAAACCCTTGGACCAACAGGAGAGAGTTTACGATAATCGGCCATCACTTTGCTTTGTGCCGAAACACACCTGTACATAGATTCCGGAATCAATCCATAGTGGAGAAACTTACGTGGATCGGATATGATGATCTTCTTTGTGTGGAATGAGGCAATAGAGGCAAGAAGAGCATGCTTCATGACAGGTATCTCCAAGGAATCCATGGCCTTCTTTGTAATCAGGTTCCAGAAACGACCACAAGAGATCTCTGAATGACGGGTCGTTGTGTTTAAACTCTACACTACTTGGGACCAGATTATAGTGCCATAATTGAGGTTGATCCCGTTGTATAAACCATAAAGAATGGTAAGAAAACCTTTGCTTGTTGTGTCTGAACCACCACATCTTTCCGCCAAACCCTTGATTAGCAATGTCAGCAACCCATTCCATTGCGATGGCAAACACGATTTCTTGACCTTTGCAATCGTTGTAAGCACATCTGTGTATCCCATCTCATACATCATCGTGAAGAGTTGTGTTGTAGTGATGAAATCAGGCGAGATGATTGAAGAATCAACTGCAAGCCCTAGAAGTGAACAAAACTTCGCCTTAGAGATCGAGGATTTCTTGTCGTGAATGGTGAAGTAGATGCGATCTTTATTCTTGTTATAAGTCACCGATGAGTAGACTTGTGATAGCAGCGACATTGGAACCGCTTCAACTTGGGTTAGGGCCAACAACAGGGGGGATACTTTAGACATTCCACGACATGCAGCATATATGATTCATATAAGAATGGACTCATTTCGATTATCATGTTTTGGTTGGGTTTGATTGTAAGCAGGGAGGATGTTGAAGTTTGATCATGTGCAGAAGATGAAGTCGCCAATGATGAACGAAGAAGAACATGAACAGTGTGAACTTGTATGAGAGAGATAATTCGAGATTGGTAAATGACAAATAAAACGATCACCCCTATTTATACCGTTGCCTGGAGAGAGAAAAACGTGATGATGAGGTTGCTAAAACGTCGCCTGAAAAAGCACGATTTGACAGTGTGGTTAATCCCAGGAAAACGTCAGCATGCGTGGGTTTGAAACAGATCAAATTCACGCGCCTAAATCTTATCTTCATACCGTTTGAAATTCCCTATATCCCCTTGTTTGGTCACAACTGATAACCAAAACTTATACCAAACAACAATAAGAATGTTGGAAAATATTAATTTTCGTGCATAAGAGTGTGAAAGATAAAGAAATAAAGCATGTGTGTATTGGACGTGAGTGATGTCTTTTTAGAAGACAGAAAGCAGAGGATTCCGGGCAAGAATCACTTCCTTCAAAGTCAAGAGAGACTTGAAGTGCTTGTGTGGTTTCCCGAAAAATACGATCAATTGTTTGTTAATAAACATTGAAAGGATTCTTTTGATCATAGGCATTGGGTGGCTGTCCTCCAACCGAACATCGAGTTTTAACATAAAACCGATTGTTGGTAGAGGTACCTGTGAGATCGATGTGATCTATTGAACAGGTAGGTGGGATTTATTATGTTAATGACTTCTAGGAAGCAGAAATCTCAAAAAAATAAACTG